GCCAAAATGAATATGGAGTGAATGCATCATCCCTTGTGACTATTTCCAAGTGGTTCCAAAGATTTCAAACCGAACATTTTTCTGTAGAAGACGAACCTCGTGAAGGTTGCCCAAAATCTTCCATGATACAAATGTAGCCCTGACAAAGGCAAACATTGATGAAGATGTAAGAGTAACACACGAAATGGTAGTTGACGAACTAGGCTTTGTCACAAATACTAACTCATTACTTTGGCTGCATGACGAAATCCGCTCGATGGATTCTACTCTTTCTTGGCATTTCTTGGAAAATTTTGAAAATGGATATTCTAGCGCTTTTAGTAATATTGTAATATGTGATGAATCTTGATTCTATAAGTGTGACCTGGAAACGATGGTATGGAGCTCAGAAGGTGCAAATCCCCCCAGTTAAAGCAAGACAACAAAAATCAGCAACAAAAGTGATGATGTCGATTTACTTTACCAGGGCAAAAATGGTAGCTGCTATCTCACTGAAAACTAGTCAGACAGTAACTTCTGTAGTATACAGAAACTTCCATACAAGTTTTCAAAAATGTATTGAGAAACCAGAAAAAAAAAATCCCCTTTTTGTCGCTATTTTTTACATCACGATAATGCGCCCACTCATTCTATTGAAATAACCAACAACTCTCTTGCGCTCCCTGGCATCAATGAAATTCGCTCAGAACCTTATTCTACCGACCTAGCGCCTTATGATTTTTGGCTGTTTCCGAAAATTTAAAAAAAAAAATGAAGGAAAGAGTCTTCAGTTTCAATGAAACCGATTTTGAGAAATGTTTTGAAAGATGGTTCTACTGACTTAAAAATGTATTGAAATAAATGGAAATTATGCAGAGATATTACAAAAGGATGAAAATTTAAAATATTTAAAAAAACTTAGCGAACTTTTGTTAGACCCTCTCGTATACATTAAACAATTATTTCTCTTATTTTTATATAAATAATTTATATATTGATGTGTTGTATAAATATAGAATTTTAGAACTATTTTAATGCAGTCGTTCCATTTTGTCCATATATTTAATTTCGAAAAACGAATATATTCAGATGGACATGAATTATGTAAGTATGCAAATGTATACATTATAAACGTAATTTATATTCATATTAATTAAAGTAAATATATTTATTATACAACTTAAATGTCGTACAACAGGAATAACCGACTAAATGTATTTTCTGTCATATCCGAAATATGTGCACACATTATTTGACACGAACAAAAGTATATTAGAAAACTAAATGCATATTTATATCATTTTGCATTCGCATTTCTTATAATTTACAAAATATATTCGACCTAATAGACAAAAATTGCACATTTTTACCGAAAATTTTGGTACAGAAAATAAGTATCTAAAGGTAACTTTTGTACTTTGAACAATATTGATTTCAATTTCCAATTGAATTATTGTTTTTTGATTGAATGAAATTAGAAAACCTTTTCAATTCATGTTTTATGTTAAAAAAATATTTTGTATTGCTTTATTGTCATTATTTCATGACTTTGTTTCTAAATTTGAAATATGTTCTAAATTTATGAAAAAGTGAGAATTAAACAAAAAAAATGTTAATTATTAAAGAAAAATCATTAATTTATATAATATTATTAAAAATATTTGAAATGTTTATTTTATGTTCAAAAAAATAATATTTTATTCTGTCATTGTTAATGAAATAAGTTTTAAATTTCTTAAAAAGTTATAAATTGTTAATTTTTTAGAAACAAAAACATGAATTTGAATATTATTTAGAAAATTTGAAATGTTTAGTTCTTATTAAATGAGTTAAATATAAATTTTCATTATTTAATGAAAAAATTCAAATATTTTATGTTAAAAAATTATATATTTATTATTTCATTGTTATTATTTAATAAAATAAGTTTTAAATTTGTCAAAAAGATAAAAATTGGTCAAATAATTGTGAGTTTTTAAGAGAAAAAAAAGCAATAATTTGAATATTTTTAGAAGATTTTAAGTTTATTTCATGTTAAATAATTAAATATTTATTGTTTTAGAGTCATTATTGAATGAAATAAGTCCTAAATGTATTGAAGAATGAAAAGCAAGTGAATAATTGTTAATTATTATGAAAAGACACACATTTTAATTCGATTATTTAAAATTAAAATATTCTATGTTCAAAAATTTCATTATCTTTATTTAATGATAAATAGTTAAATATTTATTGTTTCAGTGTTATTATTTAATTAAAATAGTTCAAAATTCACGAAAAAGAGAGAAATTTGTTGTTAATAACAAAAAAAACATATTGAATTTTTCTTATTAAAAAAAAGAAACCAATATTTAGTAGAACTTAGAAAATCGATTAAATTGGCAATTTGAATAAGTTTGAGATCATTTATTAGATAAATCATTTTTACTAATTTACAAAATTATATAACTTTAAATTCTTGGAGTAAAGTGATAAAAAAGGATATTAAGGATAATATAAATGTGGCTCCACCTTGTGGAACGCGTCGAAATCCTGCGGTCGTTTTGCGGTTTTGTGAAAGGACGTCACTTGGTGACCGCAATAATAGAGGGCCGCTCGAAACGGTTCCGAAACACATCGAAACGAATCGAAGCACAAGCAAAAAAAAGAGGAACAGTTTGGACGGCTTCAAAATGAACATAAAAAACATACATATAAAAGAAAGAGCGGCGAAATTGAAAATTTCGGTTCCGCAGCACTTTTGATGTCCGCATCTGCGGTCTGCGACTTTCTGGCTGCGCCGTATATTCAATTACATTCATTCTATTTTAATATGTTTTTGCGGTAATAAACGGCAAATCAATGTTTCATTAAAAATGCGGTCGGCCTGCAATTTGCGCGTTTTGATTGACTCGTTTTGCGTCGACCGAACGGAACGAAAACGCATCAAAATCCTGGGCAAATACAGGAAAAACCAACGTTTTGGTATGGGAGAGTGAAAACTTCGAAACAAAAACAAAATAAAAAAAAAGATTGGTGGAAAAGCGCGCAGCCACCCCAATCACCCAAATTCGAAGTCGCGAATGGGGGGAGTAAAAAGGTTTGCGCTGATGAAAAAAACAAACTGAAAAAAAGCAATAATAGGCGAATTGAAAAATGGAAACAAGTTAAAAAATGGAATGGTGATGGGACTCGGAGAGCGAACAACTGCCGGTCGGCCTCCTCCTCTCTCTCTCCCCGAACCTCACAAAAGTCCTGCAGCAAATCGGGGATGGCGGTGAATGATGAAAAAAAAAATGAAAATCGAGAGGAGCAAAACGATCGCAGCAATTTTCATTTCATTGGTGTTAATTAAAACAATGAATTCGTTAATTTTCGGACCGGTGTGTTGCGATTCAAAAATTGATTAGGTTTTAATTAAAAAAAAATATGTATATTCGTGTATAGAAGAAGCGCAAAAAAAAGTAGCGGTGCAGATTTTTGTTTACCTTTGCCGGGAATTGAACGCAATGCGAAAAAAATGCACAGTCGATGTTGCAAATTAAATTTTTATAATTTTGTTTTTGTTGTTGGGGTGGAAAAACGTATTATTTTTATAATTAAAACCGAAGAAGCGATTTTCGAATTTGGGCTGCAAACGAATTATCAAATTGTAAACGTGTTTTTTAGACACCAGATCTTTAATTATTTAATCATGATTATTGAAACTAATCTATTGTAATGTAAATAAATACACGGTTCAAATTTGATTGAGTTTGGAAATGACATCTGTCACCATGTGTCAAAGTGAAATTTCAATTGGGTCGTTGTACAATTGCCAACGAATATGTAGAGAAACGCTACTCTAATTACGTAATCATGAATTTTTATAGCAATTTATTGAGCAAAATAATAATATTAAGTAAAAGTTAACGTTTCTCAACTTATGTGTCGCAAAAATGACAGCTGTCACCATGTGTCAAAGCGATGAAACGATGAAAAACTCTTTGCAATTGAGATGTTGTACAAGTACCAATAAATATGTTGAGTCACGCGAAAAAAGGTTGAGAAATGCTGCTCTAATTACGTAATTATGAATTTTTATAGTAATTTATTGTACAAAATAATAATATTAAGTTAATGTTAACGTTTCTCAACTTATGAGTTGCAAAAATGACAGCTGTCAACGTGTCTCAAAGCGAGAAAATGGTGAAAAATTATTTGCAATTAGGACATGGTATAACTACCAATAAATATGTTGAGTCCCGCAAAGAAAAGATTGAGAAACGCTGCAACTCTTAGTAATTTGATCGCTGTTCAAATATCAACAAATGAGTCGACGGTAATTTACGGAAAAATAAACAAGAAAAAAAATATTTACAAAAATAAATATTTCAAAAAGTTTCATTCAGTATTTACATATTTACTCAAATAAAAGTATAGATAAAAACGATTCATACTGCACCCACACCCTGTGTTGACATATCAGTGTGAAATTACTTGATATAAATATACAAAGTATGACAATGATCTATTTTTTGGAAACAGAAACTATTACTAGCTACTATTAGTAGTTGGTACATCTGTGAATCTGACATTCATATCTTATGTTACATAATATAGCAATTATAATCAAGTACGTTGTAAAGAATAATATCTTTTGGTGTATTTTTGTCTTACAAATAATTCATTGAAAACATATAGAATTGAGCATGGAATTTAATATAGACCAAGTATTTAGACTTAGACCTCTATTGGATATATTTTCATATTTTTTTTATAATATTTTTTATAAATTCATTAGAAATTTGCAGACAGATAAAAGTAATGCAATATATTAAAAAGTAAATTTTATTATCAAAAAATAAATCTCTTATAAATGTAAATCGAAAGAATGTGTTAAAGCTATTCCTTATAAACTAATAAAATACTGAAAGACATTTCGAGCATGTTGAGACATCGTATAACGTGCATAAAAGTGAACTTAATATTAAAAGTTTTAAAGCATTTGATTGTCGAGATCATTGCAAAAAGTCCCCAAAGATCATCCACGGAAAGATCCTTCACCAGGGCCTCCACATCGATTCACTCTTTCCTTGATCATCGTCATCATCATCATCATTGTTAACATCATTCCTTCGACTCGTGGACGGTTCGCAATCCAATTTGAACATCTTGTTAGGTGGAGCCAAGGTCAACAAACCTTCCTCCCTTACACGACGTTTTCCACTGCCATGGTAAACGTTCTCCTCACAATTCTGCGTATCCCCCAACATCTGTGCTTGTCTGAATCTCTCCGATTGATTTGTAATGATGCAGAGAGGTTCCGAGATGCTCTCCTTCTTGATCGGATTGATGGGGAATCTGATGTTCTGGATTTCCTGTCTGGTGGCTTTCGGTATAATCGGTTGGAAACCGCGCGGCGAAAGCTCCGGGCTGATCGGTGGACTCAAAGGCTTGGATATTTTCAGAAGACTGTCGGCTGTCTGCGGTTTAACAGTTACGAAGGCACTCGGTCTATCCTCGGACATCTGCGAGGAAATTATGGAGGAGAAGGATTTCGGGACGAGGAATGCGAATTCTCCAGATGGGAGGCAACTCGGGATGAGCTCGATCCCTTGGATGTGGGGGTTGTTGTTGTGGTCGTCTTTGGAGAATCGGTTTTGCGCGAAAGAGGCTAACAAAGAGCTGCTCGGGGTGTAGGAGAATTGAGGTTTCTTCTGCTCGATTCCGTTGGCGCAGTTAACCAAATGCGCGTTAAGACGTTGCTTCAACCCAGGATCCAAACCATCCATCTGATTCACGTAAGAAGTGACTTCTTCCGCGCATTCCACAAATCCAGATTTGTACTTTTGAGCCACAGCCGGATCAGATCTAACAGCGACTTCGCGTTGCTGCTTCTGCACGTTCTTCAAGTATTTCACAGCCATCTCCAAAATATCAGCCTTCTCCAATTTCGAATGTCTTTCAGGCTACAATAAAGAAAAAATTGTTAGCAAACAATCAAAATCACAAAATCGTTAATTTACACTTACGTCTTTCTTCATTGCGGCGAGGATCAAATCCTTAATCTCGTTCAAGCAGTTGTTAATCTTTGCCCTTCGTCGTTTTTCCATAATCGGTTTGTGAGTCTGCAAAATAGAAAGGATACTTTCTTTAAGGTTTTTGTCCACAAAGGAAGGAAGCGTGTAACCAAAGGGTGGTCAATGGGCTGTGACAAAAGGAGGACGTAAGCTGTAATTCCAACCCCGATTGTGAATACGATCCGTGCAAAGTTCTCATGCACAATTTTACCTGGACTCATTATCATTTCACTTTCCTTGCATATTTTCCCACCGCAAAAACGCTTTGTCCAAGAATTTTACAAAATATTTAACAAGAACCGGATGATCTCTTTTAAGAAACTTTCCAAGTCAATTTAGAATTTACAAAAATCAATAATCTATGCAAAACATCAATTATTTACAAAATGTATAAATGTTTAATGTACTTTTAAATTAAACAAAATAAATAATTTACAAGACTTAATTGCTTAGTTGTAATAACAACAATTTCTTCCCTTACTTTATTTTTCTTTATAACATAAAATTTGTACACACCTTTCTAAGTTCAGCTTTAGACATTGTTGATGATGGAATCGAATCGTTGCTGTATTGGTTGAACTCGTCCTCGCTGATAGGCATGATGATATCACTTGTGTTTGCGAAAATTTTGAATCTGCAAGTAACAAAAAATTGAATCATTAGAAACATATAAAAATAAAGAAAATAAAAGTATTCAAACTTATTTTGGTTCAAAATTCAAAATTCAAATTAATAATCTTTATGAAAATTTTCAGAAAGTTTAAAAAGTAATAAATTTAATTTTAAAATATATTAATATATAAATTGTAATCAAGAAAATATTACAAAAATTTACTTTCTATATTGAGTATAAAATATGAATCGTACAATGATGGCGCCACCTGTTGTTGAATGTCACGATTACGTAAGAGTTTTATGACAGATCGCTTCACAATAAACAAACCAATGCGTTCAAATCTAATAGGACTATAAGAAATGTGTACTTTTTTTTTTATTTAAATGAATGATTTACACTTAATAATTAGTACTGTTTAATTATATTAAATAATTAAATTATTTTGAAAGAAATAATTTGGATGTTTATTGCTCCATCTGACGTTTATTACATAACTTCTTATTAATTTGAAAGTAATGTATAATATTACAAAGTTTTAAACATAATAAAATTAATTTGGTAGAAAATCTAATTCAAATTGATTATTAAATATATTACAAAGTAAATATAAACAAATAATTCCAATATTTCATTCAAATTATAAGTTTATGTTATTTCATACTATTTTTGACAGTTCAAAAAGTTTACAAAAGTTTGTTTATATGCATGCACATATAATATTAAATTAAAATTGTTTAAAATATCGATTGTTTACTTAAGTTTATGCATGTATTTAATATCAAAATGTATAAATCTTTTAAATTAATAAATATGTAAATATTTCTTTATTAAATCTATAATATTTTTTATGTCATTTCTGACAGTTTCAAAGTTTTTAAAATGTTTGTTATATTAAATTAGAAATTCTTTTAAATATTGATTATTTGTTTATATTTATCAATTAAGTTTACTTATTTGTACATTATTAAATGTTTAATAATTGTCAAGTTTTTGAAAAGTTTTTTTAAATTTAAAATTGTTTATTAAATTTTGAAAATGGGTATTGTTTACTTACGTTTATAAATGTATTTAGTGTCCGAATGTGTTGCGCTTTGGCACTGGATGAACTAACTTGGATGTATGCACAAGAAGCACTGGATGTTGAATGAATGAATGATGTTAAGTTGTGTTGATGTTGTTGTTGTTTATGTTTGTGGAGATCGATGCGCCGGTATTTGCACAAACTGTTCGATTTGAACTCCGTGCCGTTTTGTGAGCGACTGTGAGGTATTCGGAAGTTCCTAGTTCCGATGTAGACTAAACCTTGAAGGGGGTGAAACGTGCGAAGAACGTGTATGAGTGTGTGTGTGTGTGTGTGTGTGGGACACGGCGCAGCGCGTCTGTGGTTGGGGCCGAGGGGTTCTATGGGTACCAGAGTTGACCGACGTTCCGATACATCGTGGGAACCGTATATTAATGTATTAAGATGGCCAACCCCTCTCTCCCTCCACCTCTCCCTCATCACAGCCATCCATTCGACGCTCGATGGTACCGCTAGGCCACCCTTCGTCCTGGTACTACGCAACTACTGTGAGCGAGAGGCGGACGACGAGCTCTTCGGCTGAGGGTAGAATAGCTCCGCTTCTTCTCCGTTCACACGGACAGGTTCCCACGGCCGGGGAACCCAACACATATCGATACACACACACACTTACACCTATGCTTACCTCGTATACTCGCACACACACACACACACTGAGACGTAGTCTACATCACGCATTTCACATTCGCTCACCGGATGTCTGATAAAATAGATTGATATGAGACCACTTCTGCAGATGACATCACCCGCAGCTTCTAGATAGTAATTTAAAAAAAACTTGATATATTCATAGATATTAACAACTGAAACTACAATGAAACAGGTTGATACATTCATTAATCATCTGGGTACAAACTATTCCTAAAAGCGTTCTAATTCTCAAGGTCAAACTTTCATTAATTCATACTTAAATTAATTTAATTTTAAATTTAATATTTATATTATTATTTTTTTTTATTTCACATGGAATTTTATATTCCCACAATTATTTCATATTAATAAACAATTGTTTTTTTTCTCATAAATTTAAATTGTTTTTTTTTGTTTTTTTTTTTTTTCATAAATTTAAATTTCATATCAATAATTCCAAAAACAAAACAAACTTTTCAAAATTTTGATTTTTCAGAATTTGCGATTAAAAATAATTTAAGATTGTCCACAGGTTTGTCCATAATTTACCTAAAATATTAATTGATGAAAACATTCTGAGTGTTGAGAAGTTTAATGAACCAATAAAATAATTATCCGTTTTCGAATGATGTTTAACTTTCGTAAGCTGTCAAATGTCAAGTTTCTATCAAATACAAATGTAAATTTCGAAAACTGTCAAATTTTCAAATTTATATCAAAAATATACTTTCATAACCAGTCGAATGTTAATTTTATGAACGAATAATGAATAACATAATAAATGTCAAATTTATTGAAAGTCATTTAATGAACCAAATGTCAATTTTTTAAATAATGGTAGAAAACGTACTTAAATTTATTAGAAAACTATACAAAAAAGACTAAACTTTACATAAAATTCTTATGTAATTCCAAAGCCTAAACTAAAGAGACCTTAATCCCTCGTCCAAAATTTGTATTTATATACGTTTTGAATATTCAAAATTAGCTATTATCATTGATAATCCAAAATTATCCACATTTTTGTCCATAATTTACCTAAAATATTAATTAATTCAGAGTGTTTAGAATTTGAATAAAAATTTATAATGCAACTATTTTTTTTCTCATATTTTTATGGTTAACTAAACTAAATTTAAATGATGAATCTCTAAACCTTTAGAATTACTAATATAATAAGAAAATTATATAATGGAAAAATGAATTAAGTCGTTGCATCAATAGAGAGAAAAATGTAATTCTTGTATGATTGATAGGGGATTTACGGGTGAAAATGTCTCAATTGTAAAATTGTCAAAGCCTAAATTTTGGGGTAAAAGCTAAGAAAAGTAAAGGGTCTGTGGAACGTCGTTGAAAAGGAAGTTTCAAGGCGTGTGCGATGTATGCAGTCGCCGTGACATGTAAACACATTTTTGTTTGCACAGCTTCACCTCAAAAGCAAGAAAAAAAAATTAAGAACATACTAAACTTTTTTTTTGCATTTTGTAATGAAATATAGAAACAACTCGTATAGTCCAGTTTCATATTTCTTTTTCTAAATGAAACATATTTTATATTAATTAAAGTTTGTTATGTAAAAATGTTAATAGAAATAAAGAAAATGTTATTTTTAATCAAAAATATACATAACTCGTTTAGTCCGTTTTCGATTTTTTTTTAAACATCACTAATGTTTAACTATTGAAAGTTTGTTATGTAAAAATGTTAATGCAAATAAAGAAAATGATCTTTTTTATTGAAATATAGAAATAACTTGTTTAGTCCGTTTTCCATTTGTTTTAATTAAATGTTAATACAAATATAGAAAATGTTTGTTTATTGAAATATAAAAATAACTCGTTTAGTCCGTTTTCTATTTGTTTTAATTAAACAACATTAACATTAAAGTACTAAAAGTGTAAAAATGTTAATGCAAATAAAGAAAATAGTCTTTTTTATTGAAATATAGAAATAACTCGTTTAGTCCGTTTTCTATTTGTTTTAAATAAACATCATGAATGTTCAAGTATTTAAAGTTTCTTATGTAAAAATGTTAATACAAATAAAGAAAATGATCAAATTTATTGAAATATAGAAATAACTCGTTTAGTCCTTTAACGATTATTTTTAAATTAATCAATAATAGATCGAAAATTAATAGGAACTTAAACTAATTACTATTGCTTATTCAATCTTTGAATAAGAATGTTTTCAAGTAAAAATTAAAGTTAAGCACAATATCTAACGGATAATAATTGAAAGGGTGATCGCTTAACTTTCCAAAACAAAATAAATCAATTCCAAAAATTTATTGTAATTTATGTTTTAATTATTTATAACACATTAGTAACAAATCTCTATTACTTTATATGAATTAATAATAATAAAAATAATAAATTTTAATATTCTTTGATCAAAGATTGTACTCGGTGTAAGTGATTTCTATCTCCAAGAAACGATACGATCTATGTAAACTTACCTTACGTATAGAATTTCCTTCTCTGTTTTCTTCTGAAAAAAAAATGTTTTAAGTTACCATTTTTTTATTTCCATTAATTTTGTCAGTCTTTAATACGGCTTCACATAGCCACAAAAATAATATGTAATAAAAAAATTATTCAATAACATTTTGATATAAAATGTATCTAATCTACAAGAATTATTGTTTTTTTGTAAGTGGAGAAAAAAACTAATTGGAAATATTCTTAAGAAATCGATTCCAATTTTCTAATTTTTTAAACAAAACTGAAATAATTGATTTTTAGCGGAAAATTAGTAATTTTAAAAAGAAATACTAAAAGTTTTATCATTTTATTACATAACTCAAATTATGCAGTTACAAAATTGAACAATACATCATTTAATTTTAGATAATTATAGTGTTAATTAAAAGTGATAAGAAAATTTGACCCACAATCAAGGAATCTTTTGATATTTTCAGTGCGATATGCAAGGGATGTTGAGTATATGTTGAGCTATGTCCAACGGAGCATATAGAAATTTAGTCACGCATGTGAACTTCAGGGCTTGGGAATATGAAATAACCGTGAATTCAACGAGGCGTAAAGTAGGGGTGACTTACCGAAAATTGATATGCAATTCGATGACAGAAAACCCGTTTTAAAATAGTAATTCATAAATAATTACGTAATAAAAAATTAATAATTAAAGTATGATTCTTAATTTATATAATATATTAAAACAAGTTGCCACTTCCAATAAATTGTCTATTAATGTTTTTCAAATAAAATTGTACAAATCACCAATCAAAAAATTATCATTTTTTGAATGATGTTTAACTTTTGTACGCTGTCAAATGTTAATTTTTTATCAAATACAAATGTACCTTCATAAGCTTTCAAAAGTCAAGTTTATAATAAATAATTTGCGTAAACTGTAAAAAAAATACTTTCATAACCTGTCAAATATTAAGTTTAGAAACTAATAATAAATAAATTTTGTAAATTGTCAAATGTCAAATTTATATAAAAAAAAACTTTCAAAACCTGTCTAATGTCTAATAAATTACGAAAACTGTCAAATGTCAAATTTATCGAAAAAAAAAAACTTTAGTAAACAGTCAAATTTATATTACAGATTATTAAAAAAACTCTAGAAAACTAGAGGAAAAAAAACTTTAGATAACATTCTTATGTAATTCTCAAGCCAAACTAAATACACCTTAATCCCTCGTCCAAACTTGTATTTGTATACGTATTTCACCCTTTTCTGCATGCACAAAGCATAGCGTATTTTCGAACGGAAGGGATTCCTTTTTTCTCTGCTCTCCTCCTGATGAATATGAAGAAGCTTCTCTGCTCATCCTTATAAATATTGATTTCGATATAACTGTTTTTCTACCCTTAAAGTAATAAAGCTTTTTTTATGCGTTTTCCTGTTCCATTATAATTTTTTTCAGAACGACGTAACTGTGTTCGACCTTTTTATTATTATCGTTGGTGGTGGTCTCACATAATATATATGAAAAAGAAGCGGATGGGACTCGCAAATTGCACAATTTTCTTTGTTTGGACTAGTATTATATATTTTGTGACATGGTGGCATTTGTAATTACAGACATTATTGATTATAGCTTTGGATGTTTGCAGGAACAAAAAAAAAAGAAATAATGGCAATAATTACAGTTTACGCTGTTTACTTGTGACGTTTGTTCTGAGATGAAAATAATGGTGCAAGAAAGAGAATCATTTATTTGTTTTTGTTGTGGAATTTTTGACAGACAATTTAAATGTCAAATTTTTACTTTATTTTTTTTGTACATATGTACTAGTTGTTACATGCAACTTGCAAAGTAATTAGCGTATATTAATTAGGAAAATCTACTTGTAAGCAAGTAACAATAACTAAATACAAGAACAAAATGTATTTTAGTTGGTACACTTTACAAAACAGATTCTATTATTGAAATTAACGATAAATTTAGCAATAATTTTTAAATGTTTATTTACAAAATGAAAAAATTTAACTCAATAAATCGCATTTAAACAAATTCTTTTTACAACATTTAGTATAGAAAAAAAAAAACATTTAAACAAATACAAACAAAAGTTTGTAAAAAAAATGACTTTAGTGCACTTTTCTTGTAAATCAAGAATATTAGTAATAACAAATAAAAAAAAATCTAACTACATCTTACGGATTAAGCAAAATGTAAATTTAATAATTAAATATGTCTAAATTGTTTCTAACATAATTTATAATTATTTCATTCATTCAATAACATATTATAATATTAAGTAAAAACTTGGGAAGTTAATGAAATAAATTCATGTCTTATGATTAATTTGATCTTTTTATTTTTACTTCATGGGAAATTTCTAAGTGCTTTGCAATATTCACTCAATTCATTAGGCAGGTGTTCTCCATAAATATAAACGGTTTTCCTTATATTTCCACGTCTTTAATACTCATTTATATGCATAATAAGCTACGGGTAAGCATTTAAAAAAAAATAAAGAAAGTAAACTATATTTCTTCTCAAATTGTG